TAATCATTCAATTTGTGAAGACTGGCCAAAAGTTAAGTTAGTTCATGTAACTCCACAGAATAGCAGGCAGTGTGTAATGAGAAAAGTGGCACCTTCCAGTAGTTCGAGAATGCTAACACAGCTAGAATTGTTATTATCCTAAAAGAAAATTTTAGCCTGTGCCTCTCCAGGATTACTCTGGTTAAAAGCATTAGGAGATTCAACTATAAAAAGAAGGGGTAATTTTTTCTCTCTCTGAGGCCAACTTTTAAGACTCCACAGATACTAGCAAGAGGGGATGTAGAAAGAGCATGTGCCTTCTTATGACATCAGTGTAACCCTGGACTGCTGAAAATGTCAACAGATTAAGCTGTTTAAAACACCTCGCAGCTCAGTTTATTCCTCAGGTAATCAACAAATCATGCCTTGTACTATTAATGGAAAATGTCTATACTGGATGTTGAGCTTAAAATTTAGGATTACTGCTGCTTTCTGCACTGTTTATAAAGTTGCAAAACCTGTTTACTTTTTCTCTTGGAAAGGCCTTCTTTGTCAAGACTACCTAGTTTGAAGGTTTTTTGTTTGTATTTTTTTTAAAAAAATCTCAAGGGCCAGCCAGATTGATTAAGCTCTAAATAGTTAAGCTGGGGGTGGGGAGCAGGCAAGAGTAGATAACATAATTCATACCTTACAGTACAGGCTACAGTTAATTTCTAAATAGTTGATGTGACAGAAAAAGGATTTTGTAGGTTAATATGATTACAAAGCATAATGTTTGCATGGCATTTATTTTTACTCTCTTTAAAAGGAATGCATATCATTTTTAATTTTTATTGAAATTGTTTCTGGTTCATGCCACTCTACACAGCTGAATACAAAGAATTGGAATATTTTACAGCTACTTTTATTATAGAAGAGGCATTTAAGCCCAAAGAAGTAAAGTTACTTATCACCAAATTCACAGTAGCTCTTAGAATCCAGGTTCCAGACTCTGTCTCCTCCCTAAACTAATGATTTTTCAACTTTTCACCACTTATTTCAGAAGATTTTAATTGACATATTATGCTGATTAATAAATGCTATATAACTGACAAAAAGAACTTCTGAACTAATAAAACAAAGAAGCCCAGTGATATTCTGATTCTGACTCTTCAAGAAACTCTTCCAGTCTGTGACATCAAGTAAAATCTGGCTGATATGGTTTACCTCTGTGTCCCCACCCAAATCTCATCTTGAATTGTACTCACATAATTCTGTGTTGTGGGAGGGACCTGGTGGGAGACGATTTCAATCATGGGGGCAGTTTCCCCCATACTGTTGTCATGGTAGTGTATAAGCCACACGAGATCTGATGATTTTATCAGGGGTTTCTGCTTCTGCAACTTCCTCATTTTCTCTCGCCACTACCATGTAAGAACTGCCTTTTGCCTCCCGCCATGATTCTGAGGTCTTCTCAGTCATGTGGAACTGTAAGTCCAATTCAACCTCTTTTTCTTCCCAGTCTTGGGTATGACTTTATCAGCAGCAGGAAAACAGACTGAGACACTGGCCAAGGCCTGATTTGCCATCACACATGCTGTCAGGCTTATGTGTAGGAACAAGTAGAGAAGAACTAAAGATTGTCATAACCTGCTACTGTAGTCATCCACTCTACTTCCCACAAATAACATGTCAATTTGTAATTCTGTGATTATAGAAAAGATTCTTAATCTTTAGATTTATTTCTTTCTATTAAATGAATCTTTTCAGAGGTTTGTTGTTTTCTGCTTGCTTGTTATTGGGGGTAGGAGGACAAAGTTATCCAAGCATTAAAATGACTTCTAAGAGGCACTGTGCGTAAGTTACCTCAACTAGTTTAGGCTCAGATAAGGCGCAGGCAGAAGAAATTAGATGCTGTAAATGTATTTGGCATATGAGTGGTCCAGATGTCTGTGGGCAGTAAGGAGGAAACTGTGTACAACAAAGAGAACTGCCACCTGACTCTTAATACAGGTATCCCCTCCTGCTACCCTTCCACAGCCCCCATCCCCTAGCACTGAGCTTAGCACTGTTCTGCTGAACATCTTTCCTACTTATTATACAGCAGATCTGTCAGTGCCAGACCTATTATATGCTAGACAGTATTTCTAGTTGCAGGGGTTATATTAGTTAAAAAAAAAAAAAGAATTTATAATATGCATGGAGCTATGAAAGGAACTTGAAGGACTTTAAGCTAAGAAGTAGTAAAATTACCAAAATTGTATTTTTAAAAGTCTCACATTCTTTACATATTCTTGTATTGTTTCACTGGTCATCACAAGCATGTACCAGTTTTGTAATTTGAAAAATAACAAATAAAGAAAAGAACTGCCGGCAAGGTAAAGGAGAGCTTGGAGGGCAGGCAAGACTGGCAGTTAGAGACTGGTTAAGGGACTGTTCCTATCAGCAACACAGGTTATTACAGAAGAGGAATTGAAGACAGGTAACACTAAAGGGAAATGGAGTAGTGAAGAGATTGAAAAGATAGTAAGACAGTAATATCAATAAGAGAAATTAATTGCAAGTCAGAGAGAAAAAGGTAAACGGGAGAACTTTCAAATATGGGGCTTAGGCAGACATTCGAGAGGTGTTTATAAACATATTTTAAAAAAAGAGCAGGATGCAAAAATTTTATTTATTTGTTTGTTTGTTTGTTTTGAGATAGAGTCTTGCTCTGTCACCCAGGCTAGAGTGCAGTGGCGTGATCTTGGCTCACTGCAATCTACACCTCCCGGGTTTCAAGCAATTCTCCTGCCTCAGCCTCCTGAGTAGCTGGGACTACAGGTATGCATGCCCAGCTAACTTTCTGTATTTTTAGTAGAGACAGAGTTTCACCGTGTTAGCCAGGATGGTCTCCATCTCCTGACCTCATGACCAGCCCACCTTGGCCTCCCAAAGTGCTGGGATTACAGGCATGAGCCACTGTGCCTGGCCCAAAATTGTATTTATTATATGAATACTGTGTACATTACATGTTTCATAAATATATATGCATAGGAAATTCATCAATATGCTAACTAACGATGGCTGGCTCCGGATGGTAAGTCAATCAAGTTTTTAAATATTCTTTTCCACATATGTACAACTATTAAATATCAATAAAAATACATACAAAAAAACCTTTCTATATATCTTTGAAATTCAGAATGTGTACTTTTGTGTACATTTTGTATATTTTTGAACCACATTCCTTCCAAAAAGCAGTTTCCCTTTAGTAATAAAACTCTATGATTCTAAAACTCCCATGAGAAAATCTGGTCAAATGGCAAACCATTCTATATTTCATAAACATATTACACTGTCCATAATTAATTCTTATATCTTTGTGAACTCTCTCTATGAGTTTATAATGGTGAAGCAATCACAGTAGTTGTGTATTTTCTTTTCTATTCAGGAAATTCACCAGCTGAGAGAGGTGACAGAATTGAAAGCAAATATCGTGCTGTTATTTGATTACCCAGTAATCACTGTAGTCACTTAACAACTTGATACCCCTACTTTGAGCCGTTTCCACAGATATCTGCATGACTGACTCCCTTACTTCAAATGTCAGCTTCTCAATAAGGCCTATTAGGATTATCCTAATTATAAGAGCAACATGCCCTTATCATCACTACCACCATAGGCTTTCTGATATTCTTTTACTTGTTTCATTGTTTTCAATTCACTTATGATCTCATATATAATGTAACTTACTAATTCTATTTAGTGTATATCTCACCTCCTAGAATGTAAGCTCCTGAGGTCTAACTTGGATTTTTGTTATTTTTATTCCCAAACACATTCCCAGCCCCAGAGCTATGCTTGGCAAACAGTGGATGCTCAAAGAAATATTTGTTGAATTAATGCATGTATTAATGAATAAATCTATAAAAGAGTACATGAAAAAAATTAAATGACTAGTTTTTAAAAAGTACATATTGTTTTACAAATAACCACCATTAATATTTTTTACTTTAGATATCACTAATTCCCTGCTTAAACATTTGTAAATACCAATTTAGCCTATGTGGTTCAGCAAAGTTCTCTCTTCATACATATCCCTGTTAAAAATTTTCCTTTAGATTCAATAAACATGAGAATTGCTTATACAAATCAAATAACTTCTCTAATATATAAAAATTTAAAACTATAAACTTTACCAATAATCATATAATACAGTTTTAACTTTTGCAATCAGAGCTTCCAAATCACCTCATTTAAAAATGTTCATTTACTACTGAAGATCACGGAGAAACTCTACAATTTTTCATCTAACCACGTGAGAGGTTGATTTTTTTTTTTTTAATCCTTAATAGTGAACCATAACAAGGGAAAAGGAACAAGAAGGCAAGGGCAAACATTTAGTTTACTCCAAGTTAAAGAGCAATTTAAACTACTTTCAGTTTGCTATGCCTCACGGCTATAGCACCATCTACTGTTTACTACGCATAAATGCTATGAGGGCTGCTAGTACAAGAGTCCTTTGTCACTCCGTTTTTAAAAAATGTTCACCCACGTGGACGCAATCATGTAAGCGTATGCCTAATTTGATAACAATCACATGCCCAATATGGAAATGTAGAAGTGAAAACTGAGAAATCAATGTGGTATTAGAAAATAAACCATTTACATAACTCTGAAACAATAATACTCTTTAAGAAAAAAAGGACAAAAGCAAAACACAAATTATTAAAAGGGAAAAAATTAAAAGATATTTTAGAACCTTGTTAATGGAATATTTCAAAATGCAAAATTCTATAAAAAGTAAACTATCACATAAAACAATGAGTTTATATTTGAATATCTAAGATATCCACTTTTAAGAATTCTATATAGTCTTAGCCCTTTTTCCCTATAGACAGTAGTACAAGGCCTCAGTAAATTAACAACCCCCAGTTAATTACATACATTTTAGTATACTAAAGCATGACTATTTTAGCTTATTCAGTGGTTTGTAACAGGTAAATTTCTTTAGTGGCCAATGCCACCGTCCCTACATTTACAATGCTAACATTACTTACACCAATATAGGTTTTCCTGATATCCTAGGATGTCTTAGCATTTCTGATATAGCCTCTTTTGTCTCTTCCATTCTCTCTTCATCACTGGAATCCACAACGAATATTACCCCATAGGATTCAGCATAGTAATTCTTCCAGATTCCCCGAATTCTTATTCCACCTCCCAAGTCAAAGATGGTGACTTCAAACTTTCCTTGTCTAAGGTTAATTTTTGAAAATCCAACAGTGGGAGCTACATCTTCAGGGTATTCTGTTTCAAATGATACAAAAAAAAAAAAAGAAAGAAAATCTTCAGACTTTAATTGATAACATTAAATTTTCAACTAAAATTTTAGCACCAAGTGAAGTATTTAGCATTCACCGACAGAATAAACATTATATGGAAGCACACTGGTCTGAGGACAGGCCGGAATATCAAACTAGAAATTTTACTCCATGCAGATAGGAATCTTTCTTTCTCCTGATACAAAACCCGCACCTAGCATATAATAGGTACTTAATAAGTAGCTGCTGAATTACTAAATGAATAAACTCTCTTGCCTTTAAGGCTATTTACTATCCAAGTTACAAACAATAAAAATGTCAACCTTTCAATACCATAGCTATCCCTAGGGGCTGTTAAAACATCTGTGGAGTTATAAAGAAAACCATGAACACTTAGAGAATAGAAGAGTTTAGAAGAATCAAAGAATGAGAGAAGCTATAAAAATAAGATTGCTCTTTTTTAATTAGCTGAATTAAAGCTATATTTGCAATAAAGAGACATTTAAGGGAGCTTACAACAAAAAGTAGATTTCATTCTTTCTATAGGAACATATTTTGGAGAACATAAAGAAGATACAGGATGTATATGAACTGCCAAGGAGTGATAATGACAATAAGAGATTTAAAAGATACCTGAGAATCTTAAAAGACATCATAGGAGAGACAGAATTTAGGCCTTAAAGCTGTGTAGGATTTAAACAGGCAGAAGAGGAAGGGAAATGACAAAGTAAAGGAATAAGAACAAATTGAACATTGTGCCTGCAGCAAATCCTTAAGATTAGGAATGCAAACAGAAGAGGGTTCTGAAGATAGAGAACAAGGAGCTATTGAAAATATCTGGCAGACCAATGATATAATCAAGGTGACTGAAATAGTGCTTTATTAAGATTAATCTTGCAAAAGTCTCTAGACTGACTGGAAGTGATAGTAATAGCCTCTTTTCAGAGAGGCATGAAAATAAAGGAATAGAAAAGAGAACTCATGAAAGATTAATGCCCTGCTGACTCATGGCTATAGAGAAGAGTTCAAACTTCATATTTTTTTCTTCTATTTTTTCTTCATCACTGGAATCCACTATAAATATTATCCCACAGAAAACACTGTTCAGAGCTGCATGGTCAAAACAATAGCCACAAGCCACATGAGACTTTTTAAATCTAAATTTAAATAAACTAAAATAAAATTTAAAATTCAGTTTCTCAGTTGCATCAGTTACGTTTTAAGTGTTCAAATGCCATATGTGGTGGCTGGGTACAGTGGCTTAGGCCTGAAATCTCAGCACTTTGGCAGGCTGAGGCAGAAGGATCACCTGGGGCCAGGAATTTGAGACCAGTCTGGGTAATATCTAGAGTTAAAAAAAAAAAGCCACATGTGGCTAGTGGTCCATCCTACTGGACAGAGCCAATATAGAACATTTCCATTATTGCAGAAAGTTCTACTGAACAACACTGGTGTTTAGAGGGTCTTATTTCCACATTTAGCAAAACATGTGCTATTACAAAGATTAATTTGAAAGGCATTCGCTAAACTTAGGTGTGACTGAGAAACAGACTTGCAAGACACCAATCTCTTGGTAAGCACCTTGGTGAAGTTTACACAGCACCTGAAGAAAGTTAAAAGCCACTACCAGTCATACTTTTGCTAATACTTTCATTACCTAGAAAGAGAAAAAGGTAAAGTTAGACATATAAGCAGCATGATTTTCCAGAAACAGGATTACACTAGGCATTTAAAAATGTGATCTAAGCCTAACCAGAACTAGTTTGTGTGGATAAAATAGGCAGCTGTCTTTCAGTGTGAATAGAGAGGAACCCTAGGCAATCATCTGTGAAAACAAATCAACTATGCTGAAGTAGGAACAAGGGAACTAACAAGTATCAAACACCTCCTTGGTACCAGGACTTTGTTAGGCATCAAGGGTGCAAAGAGGTATAAGATATGATTGCTGTCCTCAAAGTACAATGTAATATACAGAAGCAGAATATTAATAGGAATAACACAGAATTTGTACGTTCTTAAAGAAAAAAAAAAAACTAGAGATGATAGTGTGTAGGAATTCAAGGGAAGGAAGTTGAAAAAGGGAGGGGCAAGTTATGGTCTAGAAAGGCTTTCAGAGAAGAAATGAAATCTTGAAATGAAGACTTCATTGTGAGTGAACACATAAAAGCTACATAATTGTAATGGAGAAGGGAGAACTATATTTTAGGCAGAGGGAGCAATTCAAGTACAGATAAAATGATGGCAATATGCCCAGTAAACCAATTCAGATTAAGGAATTTTTGCAAGGTTATATTGTAGGCAGAGACAGGCCTCAAACAGAGGTCTTCAGGACTCCCAAAGCCTGTTTCTTTTGATATATGGAACACCTTCTATTCTTTCCTCTGGTTCCTACTCAGCATTTGTGTTTCACAACTTAAGACTAAATGTTCAGGTACAACTTTCCCCATAAATCCTTTTCCGATGATTCTTCCTACTTCTACTGTCACCTTTACCTCTATCATAATAATCTGTCCTCTGCTGATCTTCACAATAGCCTATACCTTCCGAACACATGGGACCACGTCTTTGTATCCTTAGCATTCGGCACAAAGTATATAGGGCTCAATACTACACCACCAAACCACTGAGATAACTGAAGCTCCTGTCCCATACATCCATCCTTTGTTTTGCCCTTCCATATATTTATCCATCTATCCTTGTACATATATTTAGGGCCCATTATAGATGAGAAATCATACAAGAACCAGGAACAAAAAGACGCATGGTCCTCAATTCTGAGAATTTCAGTAAAGTACATGTGGTAAGACACCATCTCTAGAAAGTCCAAGATAAAATGCAAATATATAATCAATCAATTTTTGAGCATTTCTTATAAGCTAAGTACTATGTATGGTTTTAGAAATACAAAGATTAATAATATCCATCTTCTGATCTCACAGAGCTCTTAGTCCATTGAGGAAATACACACACACACACACACACACACACACAAAGACAAATAACTACATATGAAACATATATATATATATATATATAATTTTTTGTTTGTTTTTTTCTCTTCACAAATCACAAATAACTACAATATAATGAAGACAAGGTAATATCCAAAAATGCTAGGGACCAATCTAAACAAAGAATTTTTGCACCAAAAATAACAATAGTTCTCTATTAGGAAACACTATTTGATAGTCAAGAGAATCCTAGATTTTTTTACCTAGGCTCATGACTGCTTGCAAGACTATAATCCCCAACCACTATGCCAGCTAGGGGTGGCCATGAGAGAAGGCTAGCTAGCAATGTGTTGTTAAACATTTGGAGGAGGAGAACCCTGATACATGTATGGTATCTGCCAATTTCCAAAGTATAAATACGTTGACCATGGCCGATTTCAAACTAACAATATGAGGTACCTGAACACAGAGTTGGGAAGAGATATGCATAAAGGGATCTCGCTAGTTCAAATGAGCCAATATGAACAGCAGGTCAGGAACACGACTGCTTCTTGTCAATGATGTGAACCAAAATGATGCAGCAGCTTCTGGTTCAGCTCCTACAGGAAAGGAGGATGGCCTCCCCTTATCCTTTACCTCTTCTTTGTAGCGGAAATGCACATTTTGTAGTGAACTACCTTCAACCATGTGGGTGAGGGAGAACAATGAGGATGGCAAAGCAAATAGAACAGAGAACTGAGTACTAACACAATGGAGCTGACAAACCTGTCCTAGACTACTTTTGCCTAGGCTGTTATGAGAAAGAAATAAACATCTATCTTGTTGAACCACTGTTATTTTAGGTCTCTGTGAGAACAACTGAACCTGTGTCCAACTAATGCAATTACTGACAACCATGAAGAAGAGAAGTTTGATCTAAACAAGTAAAGTTCCAGGAAGGGGTATTACTTTTATATTAAGAAGTTATAGAGAGAAAAAATAGAAAGAATGAAACCTAGTATTTGAAAGCACAACAGGGGGACTACAGTCAATAATTTAATTGAACATTTAAAAACAACTAAAAGAGTAACACAAAGAATAAATGCTTCAGGGAATAGATACCCAATTTTTCATGATGAAATTATTATGTATTGCATGCCTATACAAAAATCTCACGTACCTCGTAATATACACACCTACTATATACTCACAAAATTAAAAATAAAAAAGGAAAAAAAAGCTATCGTGAATAAAAAAATTAGCTAGGCATTGTGGAGCACACCTGTAGTCCAGCTACTCTGGAGGCTAAGGCAGGAGACAGCTTGAGCCCAGGAGTTTGAGATTACATGAGCTACGATCATGCCACTGAACTCCAGCCTGGATGACAAAATGATACCCTGTCTCTTAAAAAACAAAAAAATATGGACAAGGCTCAATGGCTCATGCCTACTATCCCAACACTTTGGGAGGCCAATGCAGGAGGATCCCTCAAGGCCAGGAGTTCAAGACCATCCTGGGCAACATAGTGAGACTCATCTCTACAAAAAATTTTTTAAAAATAAAAAATAAATAAATAAATAGAATATGGATTTTTCAAAAAGCTATTGTAGACACTACAGATAAAAGAAACTGAGGGTTTGGATTTAGCCAATGGCAACACAGTCAGAGAGGAGGTAGACACATCTGAAAAGAAACTAGCAGACAGCTTTTTCTCAATTTCGCAGAGAAACAACAACAACAAAAAAGAAGGTTGAGAGGAATCAGAAATAAGTAGAAAAGTAGGAGCCGCGGGAGAGATGTTTTAAGAAGACCTAGACGCATGGCCTAAACAATTGGGACACCAAAATGAGCAAAATGCCTTTAGAGAATTTAGAGTCTGAAGAAGTAGAGAGATACACAAACAAAAGGCAATTAAGTAGTGACCAAGTAGGTATCAGTAAGAGGAGGCCAAAAAAGCGGACATGGTCAATTCTACTACTAATCAAGGTAGTAACAGTTGGGGCAGCTGGGGATTAAAAACGACTTGATATAAGAGGGGATTACATGACAAAAATACATCTTTAAAGATCAGTAGATATTCTCTCTAGTTAAAGAAGTGAGAACAACATAAAAATATAAAGGAAAGAGAAGGCTTAAATCTGGGAAGTTTCAAGTAGTTCTATGAAATTAGAGTCCTAAAAAAAACTTCAAAGTAAGAAACTGAAGAGTAAATATGGGATGAAGGACAAAAAGAGAATGAAGGGTGGGGCTCAAAGTTGAAGGCAGTTTTGACATTAAGCATTTTCTAGACTCAGAAAAAGGAACTTATGAATATATGGAGGTGGAATACATAAGAGAAAGGAAAGAGGATGTTCTAAGCACGCCCAGTATACATAACAAATTAGGTAATCTGATTAGCACATTCTAAGATGCCTGCTCCCATGAATGTCAAGCTTTAGAGGAATGGATAAAAGAAGGTTAGAAGAAAGTGTCACGGCCTCCAGGTCAAAACTGGTTTTCCACTTGTTGTTGTACGGCCCATAAGCTAAGAATGTGTTTTACATTTTAAATGACTAAAATAAAAGAAAAACATTTCATAACACAGGAAAATTATATTAAATTCAAATTTCAGTGCCGTAAATAAACTTTCAATGGAGCTTAGCCACGCTCATTTGTATACGGATTGTCTTTTTTTTCCTTTTTTTTTTGAGACAGAGTCTCACTCCGTTGCCCAGGCTGGAGTGCAGTGGCGCGATCCCGGCTCACTCAACCTCCATCTCCCAGGTTCAAGCAATTCTCCTGCCTCAGCCTCAGGAGTAGCTAGGATTACAGGTGTGTGCCACCACACCGAGCTAATTTTGGTATTTTTAGTAGAGATGGGGTTTTGCCATGTTGGCCAGGCTAGTCTTGAACCCCTGTCCTCAGGTGATCCGCCTGGCTCGGCCTCCCAAAATGCTGGGATTATTACAGGTGTGAGCCACCATGCCCAGCCTGTATACAGATTGTCTATGGCTGCTTTCACACTACAGTGTAAAAGTTTTGTAGTTCAGAAGGAAACTGGATGACTGCAAGGTCTAAAATATTTACTATTCAGCTCTTCACAGAAAAAGTTTGCTGACCACTGGTTTAAATGATGGTGAGTGTCCTGTGAAGATATAACGCAGAAGATAGCATAGGCATAGGCTTTAGAAAAATTCATAGACAATAACAGATGATTTACTTCTAATTTACTTAACATTACAGAGTAGCATTTGAGGTGAGAAAATGTTTTTCGCCAAGAGTGACTTTTGCAACCTGTTAATAAATAAATGCCCTTCCACTATTTAGTAAGCACGATGTCTTACTGCAGTCATCAGTTTCCAGAAACAAATACACGTTATGCATTTCTCCCAATTCTTACCCTTTAGATCAGTGGCACCAGGGACCAGTTTTGTGGAAGACAATTTTTCCATGGACTGGAGGGTGGAGGTGGTTTCAGGATGATTCAAGCACATTACATTTATTGTGCACTTTACTTCTATTATAATTACATTGTAATACATACTGAAATAATTATACAACTCACCATAATGTACAATCAGTAGGAGCCCTAAGCTTGTTTTCCTGCAACTAGACAGTCCCAGCTGGGGGGTGACGGGAGGCAGTGACAAATCATTAGGCACTGGATTCTCATAAGGAGCACGTAAATCTCTTGAATGTGCAGTTCACATAGGGTTCACGGTCCTCAGAATCTAATGCCACCACTGATCTGACAGGGGGCAGCACTCGGGCAGTAATGTGAGTGATGGGCAGAGGCTGTAAATACAGACGAAGCTTTGTTCACTGGCCTGCCGCTTACCTCCTGCTTTGTAGGCTGGTTCCTAACAGCCCACAGACCGATATTGGTCCATGGCCCCGGGGTTAGGGACTCCCGTTACATGCCTGACTGGTGATACATTCTAGGTGCCCAACAAAGTCACTAGCATAGATACTGCTATATTGTAGCACAAAGCATTAAATTAAGATTACCTGGCCGGGCTGGGCGTGGTGGCTCATGCCTGTAATCCCAGCACTCTTGGAGGCCAAGGCAGAAGAATAGCTTGAGGCTAGGCATTCCAAACCAGCTTGGGCAACATAGGGAGACCCCATCTCTACCAAAAAAAAACCTAATAAATTAAAAATTAAAAAAAAAAGACTAGCCAGCATTCAATGAGATACACTCAATGAGATGTAGTACGTATGATATATATTCAATATTCAATGAGATGCAGTATGTATGATATAAAGCCATTTAATGATATAGAGGCCTTATCTATAACTTAATTATGAAAATTACTTATATTGAAAAAAAGCATCAAGAGATTCAAAGAGAACTATGCTGGCTAACTATACTTCTACCTCTCTTTCATATAAGCACAGGCATGTGACTAACTTCTAGCCAGGAAAATGTAAGTAGAAGATAGGTATTCTTAAAAGCAGGGCAGCTCACCTTCTTGAATTTTCCTTCCTATTGTCTAGAATACAAATACTATTCCCTCTTAGCAGATCAAAGGCATCAAGGAGTCTCTGCATCTCTGCATGTATTCAAATCTGAAACGTGGTAATAGTCTGGTCCCATTAATCCAGAGCCTATTTGCCATGAGTCACCAGTATACTAAGAATATAAAGTAATGGAGTGCACAGTATCTGTACCAAATTAATAAGGAATAAAGCAACTTAACATAAATATACAATTCAGAATAATTTAATAGAGTTCAGAAAGCACATAAATATTTTCAGCTTACCTCCTTGGATTCCCTTTGCTGTTGCGGTTTTACCAGCATTATCAAGTCCCACCATCAAAAGAGTCACCTTTCTTAAAATAATAGAAATTTAAAAATCACTTTCTTTGTTAATTTAGTATTGAGGAAAAATAAATGCAAATTCATTAATTCAATTAACATTTAAGGAGCACCTATTAAGCACAAGAAAATCTGTTGGATGCTAGGGAGTACAATGATGAATAAAATATAGATTCACAAGCAAATTCAAGAAAAATACCTTTAAAGGATCATCCTTTTGTTCTCCAAGCAAATAAAGTAAAACTGTACAATAGATAATCCAAAGGACAGAGAATAAGGGAAAGAAGGAAGATAGGAAGGTGGGGAGACAATCTCTGAGTTATCTATCATGGCTAAAGAATCGATTTCCTAGTTTATTGAAAGCTAACAAATTATCACAAACCTGTTTATCTTATGAAAGTACATAACTGTTTTTAAATATGTAGCATCTTACCAAATATAAATTTATACAAAATAACATGATTATGAAGTGTTAACATTTTGAGAGAAGGTTACTACAATTGTAAAGTTTAAAATATTTCTCATGATACAGCTAAACTCCACAGGAAAAAAACAAAAAACAAAAAAACACCCAGTTCAACTTAAAAACTGAAGAAACATAAGTCCAGATAAATTAAGTAATCTGGTCAAAGGCCACACAATGAATCAGTCACAGACTCAGAACCAGAACCCAATTCACCTAATTCGTAGGGACTTATATGTGGGACAGGTATAAAGGAGCAAACCTATTATACTGGTCCTAGTCCTATTAACTTGGTGATTCCGTTTACCACTATATAGTCATTTCTGTTCTAGGTTGAACTTTGCACAATATAAGAGGTGAGGCAGTTCATTACCACCATGGATTTGGAAATGAAAACTGCCTTGGGAATACACAGAAAAAAAGCCACAGCTTAACACAGCTGCCATATTTAGACCATAGGGTATGACCAATCTCCTATGGAGTATAGTTCTTCTTTAGCAATCATCCCACGGAGGGTTGAAAACAGAATTCAGATGGCTGTAAAGGGTGTGCTTTCATTTCTCTAGGCTTTGCTCTCTTGGATTTAGACTTGTGGGGAAAAAAAAATCAGGTGTACTCGAAGGGGCCATGTAACAAAGAAGACAGAGGTGAGAGTGTGAGGCAGGCTAGTTATGGGTCACAAGCTGAGAAACAACCAACTTAGTCTGGCAAAAGCCACACTGATAATTTATTAAATAAATAATCACGGACCATCTTCTATATACCAGACACCAGTGTTCCAGGTATTTGAGATACACTTGTTTACTACAGCAACCACCACCATAATAAAACAAAAACAGATAAAGAAATTCTTCCTTGTTAAGCTTACATTTTAGTGACAAAAGATAGCCAGTAATAATACGATAAATAATAAAGTGTAGAAGGTGATTAAGTACTATGGGAAAAAAAATAGAGTAGAGCAGGGTACAAGGGATCAAGGCTGGGGGTGGGAGGAGGAGGCAGGTTTACATAGGGCGGTCAAGGCAGACCTCATTCAGAAGGTAAAAATCTGAGCAAGGACTTGAAGGATGGAGTCATGCATATATTCGGGGCAAGAGAGAATAGCTGGTGCAAAGACCCTTAGGTACAGAAATGCAGGAAGGTCCAAGAATCGGCAAGGAAGCCACTGTGATGAAACCAAGTGAGAAAGGAGCAGAATAGGAAGACAGGAAGTCAGAGACACATCAGAGACCAGTTCACGTAAGCCTATATGCCATTGTGAGGATTCTGACTTCTACTATGAGTAAAATGAATTCCATATTAATTTCCTGTGTTATCTAGGAGCTTTTATCTTCTCTAGATGTTTCAACCATCCCATACCTAGCATGGGAAATAAAGAGAAGCTGTGTCTATACTTGACTTAGTGTGAGAATAAGGTAAATCACAATAAGCAGCACTCCAGGGCCCCATTCTCAATTGGCTGGTGGCGAAGCCAGTGGGAATGCCACAAAGACCCACAGCAGATTATAGATTTATGGAGAAGAGGTAGTAGGCAAGGTCCAGGAACCTCTATCCATCTGGAAATGTACCTGCATTATCAACTATGAAAAATACGAATTTACTTCCTAAGGAAGCTGTAAGATATTAAGAATATAATTTTATTATTTTGTTTGAATTCATAATTATTAATTAAATAACTCATAGAACTATCAAATATCAAAGAACAAGATTTAAGTACAAAATAACTTCCAAAACAAAATATAGTAAATGACTATTCAGAGAAGATGGATAACATAGCATTAAAATGAGTAGCTTAGCAAAGCATGGAGGCATATTTCTGTAGTCTCAGCCACTCCAGAGGCTGAGGCAGGAGGACTCCTTGAGCCTGGCAGGTCAAGGCTGTAGTGAGCCATGATTGTGTCACTGTACTGAAGCCTGGGCAACAGAGCAAGACCCTGTCTCAAAAATAAAACAGGCCAGGTGTGGTGGCTCATTCCTGTAATCCCAGCACTATGGGAGGCTAAGGTGGGCAGATCACTTTGAGTTCAGGAGTTCGAGACCAGCCTGAGCAACATGGCGAAGCCCCATCTCTACTAAAAATACAAAGATTAGCTGGGCATGGTGGCATACACCTGTAATCCCAGCTACTCAGAAGGCTGAGGCTGCAGAATCGCTTGAACACAGGAGGCAGAGGTTGCAATGAGCCGAGATCACACCCCTGCACCCCAGTCTGGGCAACAGAGCAAGACTGCATCTCAAAAATAAAACAAAATAATAAAATGAAATAAAACAAGCCAGGTCAGGCCTGGAGGTTCATTCCTGTAATCTCAGCACTTTGGGAGGCCAAGAAGGGCAGATTACTTGAGCTCAAGAGTTCGAGACCAGCCTGGACAACATGGCGAAATCCCATCACTACAAAAAAAAAAAAAAAAAAAAAACCCACAAAAATTAGCCAGGCTCGCAGTACATGCCTGTAGTCCCAGCTACCTGGGAAGCTAAGATGTGAGAATTGCTTAAACCCGGGAGGCAGAGGTTGCAGTGAGACGAGATCGTACCACTTGCACTCCAGCCTGGGCAACAGAGTGAGATGCTGTCTCAAAAAATAAAATAAATAAAATTAAAATAAAATGATAAAATAAATATTTTAGATAATTCAAGTTACTAGAGATACAATGAATTGGACTAAAGTAACGCTAATATTAAAGCTAACTCAATTGTTCTTTATGTATACAATGCATTTCAAGATCTACAGTGCTTTAAACATTGCCATGAACCAAAGCAATTACTTTTGGGGAATAAATCCCTGTTTTCTACTAGTTTACATCATTTATTCCATAAATATTAAGCACCCCTTACATAGCAGCAAACAAATATCCACAATTCTTAGGCCTCATAAACCTTAGAGCCTAGAAAGAAAAAAGGCACTGGAGAGGTAATTACAGTAACATGGGATAACTGTTATAAATTAGGGGAAGCAGTGGGCAGTCGTAAGGATAGACAGCAGACCACAGAGCCCACTCTGGAAGTCAGAGAAGATAATACCACAAATAAACAAATGAGCATCAACTGAGTTGGCATTTCCTGGAAACATCACAAAATCTTTTCACATCCCTTACTAGTCAAAGTAAAAATTCCCTGATACACCATTTCATGAAAAATAACTCCTTGTTCTCCATTACATAGAGCATCTCATGTTTTTCTCCATTCTTGTCAAGATTTCAGTTTTTTTAAAAAACAAACATCTAAATACATATATACTGTGCATTTTGAAACACTGTTCCTAAGGCCACCAAGAAAATCAGCTTTTACCATAAGAGTCTGTCTTTATTTATAGGCTATTAGGCTCAAACAAACAAAAATGTCCCTCAAAGAAGAAAATCACTTTAGAGAATTATAATAGTGTTGAGACTGGCATAAAATAATTCTATTTCTATTTTCACTTTGACTACCTTTGCAACTAGTTAATTTTTAAGATTATGCCCTATTCTTGAAAAAGGCTTTAATTAAATGTTTTAGGGAATTAAAGCATTACTGAATAAACATAACTAATAAGTAGTACAAATAAAAATCACAGCATGAATTACTGCAAAGCCTGATAACGAAGGATTACATTTATACTTTCAGGACAGAATGTGATTAAAAGGTTAACATTCACCTAAAACTCAGGCTTCTATAAAGAGGTATAATTTATTTAACCTATGTTAAAATGTACACGTAGCTACAACTTTTTAAAACATGATAAATTGGACGGGCACGGTGGCTCACACCTGTAGTCCCAGCACTCTGGGAGGCCAAAGCAGGAGGATCACTTAAGCCCAAGACCAGCTTGGGCAACATAATGAGACTGTGTCCCTACAACAAACTTTTTAAAAAATTAGCTGGGAATGGTGATGTGAGCCTACAGTTCTGGCTACTTGGAAGGCTGAGGTGGGAGGATCACTTGAGCCCACTGAAGCTGCAGTGAGCCATGACTGCACCACTGCATTGAAGCGTGGGCAACAGAATGAGACCCTGTCATTCATTCATTAATTCATTCATACATGCATGCATACACACATACAAAAAAATGGTAAATTATTATTGGGAACAGTTTGGCTGTGGTGCTGTATGACAACAGAAAGATGAAAGATTGCCAATATCTCTTAGTCTGATGATTCTCTGATCAAATACATTAGCCCTTCAAATTGAAAAAATAATATACAGTGCTCTTAGGTTTACAGTGTCTACAAAAGTTGACACTAGCAATAAAATCAATCATTTAATCATTTGGTCAGATGGTAATACAATTAAAGCACATTAAGCATTGTGGACACAAAAATGCCTCAGACATCATTTCTGTCCTGAAGTGCTCAACCTCTAGTGAGAGTGACTAAAACATAAATACAAATACATTCTGACACCACGAAAGTTTAACATGTTTAGCTATATATGTAAGATGATAAAGGAATACACAACAAGGAGACTTTATCCAGCCCAAAATTAGGGCAGAAGGTCAGAGAAGCTTCTTAAGGTAATGCCTAACCTAAGTTCTTAAAGTGAGAAGTTAGCCAAGCAAGGAAAAGGTGAAAACAG